CACTGTTTCCAGTGATAATCCACTGATTGACTTTTAGAGAGTGTCTACAATAGAGTCACACTTGAATCTTGTCGCGATAATTGATTCTAAGCCTACACGCACGTCGTTTACTATTTAAAAATCAATCAGTGATTATTCACTGTTTCCAGTGATAATCCATTGATTGACTTTTAGCGTGTCTATAACAGAGCAATATGAAATCTTGTCGCGATAATTAATTCTAAGACTACACGCGCGTCTCTTACTCTCTGAAAATCAATCGGTGGATTATCATTGGAAACGGTGAATAGTCACTGATTTACAGTTACAAGTGTACCAATGCGATTTTTTTCAGTGGTGTACTTATAACTGCAAATCAGTGATTGTTCACTGTTTTCCGTGATAATCCACCGATTGACTTTTAGAGGGCGAACGTTTGAAGGTGAGAAAACGCCAAGAAGCGAATTGTTAATTTTCGCCCGATCACTCAGACCCGTGTGCGCGACTCTCGGATTCCCGGGCGTCGCGTCCCACGGATTTTCTCTCTGCCCACGAAGAGTGGCCTTGGATTTCGGTTACAGAGCACGTCGCTGGATAGTGGGAGCGCGATAGGTCATCAGCCGGGGTCCGGCGGGCCCACGGTGGTGACGCGGAATGCCGGGCGCCGCTGGCTCTCGCAGAACTCGCAATCCTCCAGACAGCACTCGGCCGAGGATGGGGTACGTGGGGGCAACGTGGGCGTCGGAGGGCCCGTTTCGACCTTGTCCTCGAGCCAGGCCCCCGGCCAGGCCGCGCCTCCCGCCCTGCCGCCGCGCAGAGTCAGTCCGGCCGCGGATACCAGCGAGATCACCAACGCGGGTCCTATCCCGCGTGTCGACAGGTAATATCGCTTTTCCAATTCAAACTCGCCGCCATCGAAGAGTGCCGGGTGTCCCGGGCGCGTCCCGAATGCCGTTCCGCGAGCTCCACGACGTATCATGCTCCCAGCTTGATAGTTGCTGAAATAGTAAAGACAAGGTGAAAGATGTAGAAAGGTTGATCGCGCGAATTTCGCAAGATTTTGCGAATGCACGGCTACACGTCGCGCGCAGCGGATGTACGTGCGAAGAGAACGTCGTGGTGAAACAGCGCGTCCACCTGCATCGCTGAAGAAGGACACCCAGCGGCGGGATCTCGCGGAGTTAGCGCGAGCGTCGTGTCGGAACGACGGAAACACTCGACCGTTATCCTGTCCGTGCGCGTGTCCTTTCCGCCTAGATTCCCTCTAAGACGCTGCTGGGGTGTTTACATACGATGTAAGTTTCATGAGGCCCAGCGGACCACCGCGTGGACCACTCTCGCGCTACTTCTTGGCGCACTCGGATACTCGCCGTCAGGCGTGACCTGGTTACACGAGGGGATGTAAAATTCATCGGTCAACTGCCGAATCTAGACTGACGTCGGTGCTCAAGGCCGATCGCCTGTCTATTAATTTGCGAAGACAACTGGCGCCTTTCGGAAATACCCCGAGCGTGTTAAAAATACCAAATTTCGCACCGAGGGACGCAAGACGCGAAAGGGATTGCTTCCTCACGCGAGACACTTCTATCGTCGCGCGGGGATAAATCTAGCGAGGGAACCGCCGCCGTGTTCCCGATTCCAGCCGGATAAAAAGTGAAAACGGATAAACGTATGACGGACGAGAAATGTTTCGCGGCGTTCAATACTGACGCGGCGATGGATCAGAAGGGAAGGTGATCACTCCATCTCGCCATCTTCTTGCTCGGACCGAGAGACCGCTCTATTTATAAGAGCGATTCTATTTCTATGACGTCGCGCTATCAAAGGAAACGAACGACTCTGCGTGTCATGTCGGTTAAGAGGTAAATATGATTAATCGGGGACAGATATTCCCGTCCCAATTGATTTCTTCAGCGCGTTTCGTCGGTTCCACATCTGGAGCGATATCGACGACAGGTTATTCGCAGCAAGTATCCGAAATACGCTTTGTCACCCAGTTTCGCCGCACGTTCCCGTCTTTAGCCCGAATTAATTAATAGTTCGATCAATCACGCCGGACGTCGAGCTGCTCGTACAAATTCAACGAATCCTATACGCCTGATGAAGAATTCTGGTCAGCGCTCAAATGAAGTCCAAGTCCTCGCGACGACTCTCTCGACTAGAGGCCCCTAAGGTGCTTTCGCGTGGCTAATTTCGCGTTTACCCGCTGGATCAAAATTGCACCTGATGCAGCGACCTCGAGGCGCGCGGCTCGAAAGCCCTTCGAAGGATTTCATTTTCCCGAGCATCTTTTTCATCTCCGAGGCTCGCTCTTTGATCGTGCGCTAATCACGACAGGCGGCAAAGACGATTGAATCTCCCCCGGGGGCGACTTTGAACCTCGTCTGCGCCATGTGGTGAAAATATCGATCGTTCCCACTCGTAGTTTGTACGTCGCTTGATTCGCTTTACGGAGAAATTCATACAGCGAGATCGACGCTCGCGCGTGCATGTCTCTCTTATTAATTTCATTCGGTGTGGAGAAAAACCTCCATCTTGCACGCTGCGGGACGTAATACTTTCGTACCCCGATAGGAAAATATTTAGCGAATTGCGTAACGAAATCTGGATGAAACTTGGTAGGCTGGAATTATGCGCACGTATTTCGAACAACATATATACGCAGGAATGGAGACCTCTTTAATACTTATTCAATAAAAATATAATGCAAACAAGTTTAATACAAATAAATATTTTATTAATAGATGGTCTCTTCTAAGTTAATTGTTGGACACATCGGTTTTATTGATAATTTCAATTTAGAGAATAAATCAAGCATAATCATTTCGGCATTTAGAAGCAAAATTGCAATCGTCAAATACTCGGAAATATTTGCACAATGTATTTTTAAATAATACCTGAGCAAAACAGCTGCGTTTTGGCGCAGCACCTTGGCAGAATATTTATACAATTAAATTGCTGTCGCGTTACTACGAGGCGTCTTGTGCTCGTACGTAAAATTCACGCGAGACGAGATAAAAGCAGGTCCAGCGGTAAACACGTCCCACGTCAAATCTTTTTTAAATCTTTGTTACACCTAACCGCGTCGCTAGGCAATTTTGCCTCTAAATGTCGAAATAACTGCGAATGGTTTAAATTGAGATGATCAATTTTTGGGCAAATACCATTTAGAGATTTTATTCCTACCGCTGCGTTTTGACGAAACACCCCGCAGTCATTGTGAAATTTCCTCCTTTTGGATGACGCAATTAATACACAATATGCGAGACGTTTTCCTATCGGGGCAGTGATCCGTAAAAATGTTCCCCGCGACGAAAGGTACGAAAAACGGGGGTCGCGGCGCACGAAGATAAGAAACACAGCCGGGGGATGCATTTGTCCGCGAAGAGATTTGCGTCTGCTTTTGAAAAAGACTATCCGGATATCTGATTTTCGTGTATCCACCGTGCACAGTTGAAAAATTTGTGTTAAATTTAACAGATATCACATGTCCCAAACGGTCCACACAAATTTTTGTGTTAATTTAACATAATATGGATATGTTAAAGGATCACACTAATAGTCTGTTAATATTTTAACACAAAATAAATGCAAATCTCAAAATCATTTAACATAAATTTTGTGTAAACTTAACATATTTTTAATGACAAAATGAATTTAAAAAATGTAATTTTTACATTTCATAATAAATAGGAATGTATCTTCGGGGAGGTAGGCACTAACAATAAGACACGCCACTTATTTTTCGGCGAGAAAAGTAACGGGCTAGGATTCGAACCTAGGACCTTCAGCTTACCAGGCGAGTGCTCTTCCAACTGATCTATCCAGGCCCAGATGTAATAAGCCAAATGGTCCGAGATCACTCTCTTATGTTATATAGAATAAAATCAACATTTCATTCTGTAAATTTTAACAGATAAATCTTGTTACTAATAATATAGAACATACGTATTGTGTAAGATTACAAAAGAAGTACACATTGTGTTGTTTTAACATTTCTTTTCAGTTATTTTAATAATTTTACATGGAAGGTCAATTAACATAAGAGCAATCTGTTAAATTAACACATGAATGTGTTAACCATTTAACACAAAAATTTTAACGGGCATTTCTTTTAACAAGAAAACACAAATTTTCCAACTGTGTGGATTCTTAGCTGGCATACGAGTGCACGCGATGCAACCTGGATGCACCTTCGCTCCACTCTTCTTTTTCCCTTCCCCCCCCCGTCTCCTCTGTCGCTTCTTTGTGTATAATATCGCTGTATAAATATTCATTGCTGCAACATCAAGCGTGATACAGGTATCGTCGAATGGGAGAGAGACGTGAATAAAAATGCAGCGCGCGGGTAACAAGTGCATGCGCGGGGACGTATACGAGCAAAAACGACTGCATCTATCTTACTTGAGGACGTCGGCGGGAGCGGGCGGCTTCCAGCGGTGCCGACTGTCGCGTAAAACCCCCGGAGATGCTAAAGTGCACCGCGAGTCGATTTCCTTCTCCAACCAAGTGGAGCAAAATTCTGGATTTGATGATGGCAAATCAAAAGGAGCACGAACTGTGCGAAGGGTGGTTTTTACAGTCTCAACTTGCTCGATCTCGATGCGAAAGAGATTGTGCGGTTTCACAAAATTTGTTGGATTAAGATTGGACGCGCGTTTTAAAACAGAATCCGTCGTTTAAATAAATTACACGACACCTGGTAAGCTAAACAATGTGTTGCTCGTAAGAGAGCACCTTTTCCTTTGCAATTGAATAAGACGAAAAAGTCCAACAAATTGTATTCCTCGAATACCATTGTTTCGTTCTATATCTTTTTGCCATCAAATCTTTCTCTGCAAATTTTATAAAATATATGTAGAGGAAAGCCCCCTATTATGAGATAGATTTTTAATATGAGATAGTAGGCTTTCAACATCCAAATTCAATCACAAATCGAACCTCAGTACCCGAGTCGAAGTTTTGACCCTACGTTGAACCTTTAATTCTATCATACAGTAGGACCTAAGACAGTAAAAGAGGTCGAACTGCAAGTACAAAATTGACTCCTACTTTAAAACTGATAGTGTCGGAAATTTCTACTTTTGCCAATTTAGCATTAAAGTAGAGGTCCTTTTAAGCAGGAGCTAAAGTAAATTTTTAGAATTAAAAATTTAAGGGCGGAGTAAAAAAAATATAATGTTGTCAAAGTAGATTATTGCTGGTCTATGTACTATAAGTGTATAGAACAGTTAAGTAGGTGTAGACTATCTTTAAAAGTGTCAAAATAGAACCGAAATTTCGACTCGGGTAATGCCCGGATGTGCGCTTATTTTCATCTTTTCACTCTATCGTCGCTCTATCGATTTAAAGAGTAAACATTTATACGGCGCGGGCGTTGGTAAGAATGATTATTCTTGGTACCACGAGCCGATCTCGAGAGGAGGAAAATTTCGGTTGCAGGGGCCCAAACGTGTCGATTCTCCATCTCCGAAACGCGTCGGCGGACCCTTGGGAGGTCGGCTCTCAAGGCTCCTCGTACAGCGTCGGCAGCAACAAGAGTCAGACAGCGAGCGGCAGAGGGAAATCCAGCGGGAACGCGCGTGGATCCTACAGCCGCGGTAGCTCGATACCATCCCTGAAACGTCACGACACGTCCACGTCGGCCACGCCGACGTCGAGTCTCAAGCAGCATCGCCAAGACGGCCACGGTCAGGTAAGGGGATCGCAGAGACGTCAGAAGCACATCGCAAGTTTCCCCTAGTTGGTCCGCGAGCTCGAGAACAGGAATCGAATTCAGGTGGAAGCTCGGGAAAAAAGAACGGTTCTTTGAATCGCCGCGGTAAATGTTAATTTAAGCTAAATGAGTTTCTCCCGAGTGTCGCTTTAACAAAAGACTCATTTAAATCACTGTTAGCGTTAATTAACATCTATGGTAACGGCTCTACATGATTTATTCTATAATCAACTGTTGTTCCGAATATTATGGGGAAGATATTATGGGAAATAATGTGAGTGCACGCCCACACCTTTTTATCCGGAGTTAAATTGCACTTACTGTAATTGTCGCATTATCCAAACTAGCGTTGTTCAACACAACGCGACGAAGTGTATGCGACGCGAGGGGCTGGGGATGACACTTAAGGTGTCTATTAGCGACGAGGATTCTCTCCTGTGCAGGTCTCCAGTTCCCGTCGGCGCGATGCCGTAAACTCCTTCCTCTCAGGCAACAGCGGCACTTCCGGCGAGCTGTTTATCAGCGGCAACTGCAGCCGCGAACTCTCGCCCGTGCGATGGTGCGATCGCGAGGTCGACGGCGTCTACCTGGGCCGCTCCGGCTGGGTGCAAGTGCAGCAGCGGTCCCTCGACGAGAATCGCCGCGCCAACTACGAGAGCAACCTGGTGACCGCGACTACCGGCACTCTGCCGTTGTCGCGACGGGCGGCGGTCAAGTTGGCGGACTACCACTGCAACAGCGAGCCGAGCAAGTGTCCGCAGGACTTCACCAGGGGAATGGACTCGCAGCGACCCGACTTCCTCGCGCTGCACAGCCAGGACTACGACCCCATCACTACCAGCGCCTGCACGTCGCCGCACAGCATCCCGGAGTCCTTTTCCCCGCCGTCGATCACGCCGATTATATCACCGCCGCCGGCGTTCCAGGACGCCGTCGCCGGCAAGAAATCTTCCTCCTCCAGGCATTCGTCTTCCTCCGCCGTGCGCAGCAACTACGGCAGCAAGGCTCCTTTCCTACCGCGATCGAACGCCATTGTCGATAGCGACATCATCAGTCCGCCACCGTCGCCGCCGCCTCACCAGGTCAACTGGAGCTCTCTGCCGTCCAGGAAGAATTCCGGCTTGGCGTCCTCCAGATCAAAAAGACAGAACACCAGTCAGCAGCAGCAGCAGCAACAGCAGCAGCAATACCGCATGGCGCAGGCCAAGTCCCTGGAAGATCAGTCATCCTCCAGAAGGTCGCAATTTGCGCAGAGGTACATCGAATCGTCCAGCTCGTCGTCGTCATCGATGGGATTCAGAAGCCTTGACAGTTGTGTCACAAAACCCATTATGCCTAGTCTAGCGGAGAACACGGATTCTTCGGTAGAGGGGTATGTCAAGTTTCTGATAAACGATTCCGTCAACCAGCTTGATTTTATTAACGACTAAGGGTGATCGCGTTTAATCTTGATTATAAATGTTCGGCAAATTAATATCTGATCGCCGCAGACATAAATAAGCAAAGACATGACATTTTATAAATTACCGTATCATATTCTATTATTCTATTAATTTGCATTCTATATGAATTGTATTGTTACAATATAATAACACGAGTCAACACAAAATGTTAAGAAAATTAAAAGAAACTACTACCAATAAATGTACTCAAAGTATCGACTTTTCAATACTAGATATGAAGATGGCGACGAGGATGATAACCCTAGTTCATCCTTAAATCTCAGTCTGGTGTCGACGTCGGCTCTTGCGTTGAATTCGTCCACGGAATCGATTCGCGCCAACGGCGAACGAATATCCCCCAACAGGCAAGGGTATACATATGAAAACTTATGAAACTTACACAAAGGTAGAGATTCGACGTAGAAAATAGTCGGAATCGCCAAATTTATATTTAGGGAGCTTTCGAATCTTTGCAACGCGCGAACATTTCGAGCAATTACTTTCTCGCTCGTTTTTAAATTAACATTTTGCACATTGAGAGAAACGGTTAAATTCAGTATCGCACCGCAAGGTGCTTCGCCATGTTACGCGGAAATGCAACGCTTAACTGTTGTATCCAGGAGAATCCACAGAAACCAACAGGGGCTCCGCAGATCGCCCGGATCCTCGGAGTCGGGCAAACAGATGTTCAACTCGCCCTCCTCGTCGTCCTCCTCGTCCAGCAACGAGGGACGACAGGGGCGGTCACCCACGCCTAATCTATTCAGACGCGGCAATCCCGCGCGACAGCACCAGAGCGCTAGGGCCAATCAGGTGTCGCCCGAGTCTCATCAGTCCAGAGTTAGAAGATCCAGAAGTCTCCAATTGCCGGAGAAAAGGTCGCCGGGAACGACGGGTCCGCAAAGAGATCATTCCCGAGAGCAGAATGAGGCGCACCGCGTCGTAGTGAAGATTGTGAATGACCGGGGAAGCGACAGGTCCAAGCGCCATGTTCTTCAGAACAGTGAGTACCGATCCCACTTAGGGTGACGTCCCATGGAGCGGAATACGCGGAAGCGGAATCAGCGGATCGCCAATCACAAGACCGTTTCGACGGAATTTTTGAAAGGGCTCTATCAGAATAATCTTGCGATTGGCGATCCGCTGATTCCGCTTCCGCGTATTCCGCTCCATGGGACGCCACCCTTACGTTTTAACTGTTCCGCGCGTGTATCGAGTGTGTGTTTACGATTTACCACGCGGAAAATACCATCCTCCGTCAGATCATCCTCCTCTCTCGCAATCTACTTATGTATAATACATTGCGTCGCCCGCTCTCTCCTTCAAGCGACACTGCTGTGTTACGTCCTCTTTTACCTTCATACGTTACGCGTAGCGTTTTCATTTGCTCCAATCTTTATTTTATACCTAATTCCAGCAGGCAGGCTTTGTAACAACGACTTTCTTTTGGTGCCTCACCATTTGCTCTCGATTCTCACTGTTACCTCTCCGTCACTGCATCTCACTTTTGCGGCAATAAATTGAATTGAAAAGCATTTTTTTAATAGACGTTTATAAACTTTTACAAACTTTATGTTCTCATGAAAAGTTTTTTTTTTACGAGTCTCATAGAAAGATCAACGTGCGATGCAAAGTGTTGTCAAACGTAAAAAAATGTAAAGAAAATAGAATATTGTATGCAATACAAAAATACTGCGTAAGAAGATGAAGAGACCTGTCTATAAAGTTTAATCTGAATAAAAAGAAAAAGGTTTTCGAAAGGAAACTCAATCTATCGTCATGTCGGCGATCGAAGTAGCTCAAGTCAATCCCGATTGTTTCTCTCGAATTCTCTCAGGGAAAGCTCAGTCCACCGACGACACCATAAACGAGAATCTCTTCCGCGAACCGGAGATGGTGACCGAATATCTGTATGGCACGCGTAGTCGCGTCGTGCCGAGAAACATGCTGTCCAGCCGCTATGAGCGTCGCGACGAGAGCAGAGACCAGGAGCAGAGACGGGGCAACTCCAACACGTATGACGTCTACATCATATCCTCCAAGCAGCAGCAGCAATCGTCGAAAGCGTCGAATTCCTCGCAGTCCCAGCAGCAGCAGCAGCAGCAGCAGCAGCAGCAGCAGCAACAGTCGCAGCAGCAGCAACAGCAGCAGCAGCAGCAGCAATCAAGGCGACCGCGGACGCTGCAGAGAGGTGCTACAACGCCAAACGCGAGCGCGCCATCCACCAATCAAGACTTTTGCATCAGTCCGGACACAAAACTGCGCTGCAACAGCAGCACGTGCGACTTCTGGCCGCACTGCTCGCAAAGGGAAACCCTGTACTCGCCGAATCAGGCGGCACCGCCGGTTTTCATGAAGCTGTCGCAGAGCTATCCGGCACATCAGCGACTCTCTACCGACGCTGGTAGCCACCGCGGAAGTGCCAGTTCCTCGCCGGCCTCCCTCGAGCGGATGGACGATCGGGAGCTCCGCGAGAGAGACAACAGAGAGAGGAAGAGCAGGAGCAGCCAGCAGGGCAAGAATCAGGAGAGACCCAAGAGCGTGCTCAAACAGGCCAACAGATGGTCGCCGTTGGAGGGAAGCAACGGGAACGGTGCGTGATAGCTCGAGTGTTACAAAATTACCCCACCGAATTAAATTCTTAAGGCCTGTGTCCACGGTGCTGGAACTTGGTCCAAGTACTGGTCTGGAGAAATGTGTGGCCAATCAACTTGCAGTTATTCCATGAAAGCTGCAAGTTAATTTGCTTGGACCAAGTTCTAGCCCCGTGGACGCAATTACGTTTGATGTTTTAACTTATACTGCGTCTACATTGGCGTGTTTTCTATAAATCAATCAGGCTCCGGGACGGAGAAGAGGGAGCAGCTGCACCACCGAGTGTACCGGAAGCCCGATTTGCCGGGCACCTACGAGGGCGCCGACAGCAAGGACAGGAGGGTGTCGCCCATCCAAGGGAAGAACGTCGCCAATAGATCGCCGAGCGGCGGCCCGATCATCTCCTCGTCGACGACCACCTCGTCGTCCTCGAGCAGCGATATCTGGATCACCACGTCGGATCGCACGGTGACGAAGAGCCCGCGTAACGCGAAGAGCTCCGGTGCGTCCACGCCGCTGGAGGACGCCGTGATCGGCTCGCTCAAGACGCTGATAGAACCGGCGAAGGACGGCACGCTGTCCCGGCCCGGTAGCGCACCCACCCGAGGCGAGGACTCGCACACGGGCGACATCGTCCTGGACCCTCATCAGCGATCCTTGTCGCTGCCCAAGTCCTTCCTGGCGCACAACACGGCGGACGGGTAAGTGTAATAAAATTCCTTTCCCCGCGCCCCGTTTTCCCCGAGCGCGTGACTCATCCGCGGAGATAGATCTCGTTGAAGCGAGGCTTTACGACGGGAGGGAGTGTCGCCCGTGGCAGCCTCCTCGTTCCATTTGAGCGAAACGACGGAGGCAATTTTCGAGGCGGACGGCCTCGCAGATTCGCGAGCGGAGTCGCCTTAAATGCAGCGCGCGCCCGCGGCCGCGCTCGTTTAAATCCTGCGGTTAAGTTTACTGGGTTGCCGGGCCACCGTGGCACCGTTCGATTGCGCTGGTAATTGGCTCCCGATCGAAACCCCGTCGGGTATTCCATTATACGTGCTCTGCATACGCGAGTCGCGCCGCGCCGGGACGGCCTACCGGGGCTCGCTGCATCCTTGGGATTAGATTTAAGCCTCCAATACGAATGTTACGGCCGGCGTGCCCGGCAACGCTTATTAGCGAGCCTCCCTCAAATCGATATTGAAGTTCCACGGGCGATATTGGCGCGCGACATCAGGGTCTTAAAACTCCCAATTGCAAATCCGCTTTTAACGAAGCGCGCTTTTAACATTGCGATTTTTAGAGGCGCTCCATAAAAGTTCTCGCGTAATTATTATTCCTGCAACAACCCGATAAAGTACGAGAGGGGCGGGGCAGGGGGGTAACCGCTATATGGCTGAAATGTCGCCCCCAACGATTACAGGATTTCATTTGACTTCGCCCGATTTCGTCTGATTACAAGTAATTTCATTTAATTGCAAACAATTTTTTGGTACAAAACGACAAATATGTTGCCGAAAAGAAGTTGAACGTCACGGCAACAAACTATTTTGTTCCCACGAGTTGTTTATCTGAACAAAACTTTATGGCTGAGATAACAAATTCGTCCATCACGTCCTAAATAATTGTATTTGTTGCGTGAACTATAAATCGTTTAGTTGAATATTATAAAGGGATTCTGCGCGTGTTCGCTCAAACAAATTTGTGTGTTGATATAACCAAGTTTCCCCAACTAAATGTTTTCGTTGTATCAACTGAAAGATTTGTTAGCCGTCCAAACAAGAAATTCAGTTGAGTCAACTAAATTTTGTTTCGTTCAGCAAAACGGGTCTCTCAGTTAATGTTTATTGTCTAACGAGTGAAGAAACTTGCGAATGAAGACAAAACGATTACACGGGGATTTCGTAAGGATTTCATGATGATTCCGGAGACACTGTCCCCTGACATTAAGCTGTTGCCCCCTTGGGGCGGAACGTCGTAGGTACATTGAGAAAAAAAGTCTTCGAAAATTTATTTCATTGAAATAAATCTCTTATTTAAATACGACGAAGGAAAATTTTATTTTTGGTAAATAAACCGTTTATTTTATTTTTAAATAAGTATTACTTATTACAAAATATTGTTGGCTTCCTCGAAATGAGTTATTTAATTGCAAGTATCAAGTTGCTTTAAATTTTTATAAATTATATGTTTCTAGCAAATAAATTAAATATACCCAAATAATTATAACTTCTCCTCACAATAAATGTCGTATATCTATAAAAATTAATTGTGACTAAATATAATATTGCTGTAGAAAACATAAATTTGCCACAAGTAGATTTATTTTCTGAGCAGAAATTAAATGAAATTTTTTAAACAAGTAATTAGAAAAATCAGATACAATATATTTTTCAGAAATGTGTATTCTGTTATTATAGCCGAATTTCTTTATAACCAATAAGTATCGAAGAAAATATCACAAGAAACATTTGTTTCTAAATATCTCGACTTTTTTCTCTGTGCACGTATCGGATTTTACACGTGCCGTCTCTAGTACAATTCCCCTAAAATCAGGCCTTGAAGTGGAAATAGAAATGGGCACGGTTAAACCCGTGTGTATATGTGTGTGTTCGTAGATTAATATTTTTACAGCATTGAAATTCCATCGGCAAACATTTGCGTATAACACGAAGGCCCAATTGAGATTTCGCTCAAATCCCTCCAGTCCGTTTACACGTGCCGACGTGGAGCGCAGAGTCAAAAGACACAAGTGATAAAGTATCGAAATTAAAAGCATTGAAATTAAAATAGAGAGAAAAAAATTCATCGAAAGACAGATTGTTCGGTGGAATCTGCTCGTGTCGCGGCTGACGCAATATTAATATACCTGACGTTATATTTATTGCTAAAGGACAGCCCCGTCCCTGCCGAGGGACGGGAGACCGCTGCGTCCGTATGAAAACACGCGCGCTCACGCAAAACAGCATGGCACGTGTGAGGCTTTCAATTAAACTGTCACCGCTTCGCGACAGTCACCGGCGCGTCCTTTGTCCGGCGGGTAAATGTAATTTTAGCGACGCAACCTCGAGCGGATTTTCTTTCTCGGCGCGGATTGTCCTTCGTTCGTCACTCGAAATGACGAATGACGTGGGATCCGCGATGACGCGTCGCTAATGGCGTATTCACGCGCGGCAGACGCATCGACGGTCCCGCGAGAGCGCGTTAATTTCTCGTTAATCCTCGCGCCGCCGCCGCTGCGTTCTCTCGCAACCTCGCCACTAACTCCTCTCGGGTTAACAAGCTCGCTTAGCTCGCGCGAGTGCACGATAGATCCCGGTGCGGAGTCCCGAAACTCACCGCGCGGCTGCTTATCGCCTGCCAAATTTGCGGTTTCGCGCGCGAATGCGAGCGCACTGGTGGTGCGCGAGTCACTTTGGTATTCGAATCGAATGAAATTGAATCCCCGAAAGGTTTGATTTGACTTCTTTTTGAATCAAAGAAATTCGAATTTGAATAATTCGACGATTTCGTATCACCGACGACTCGATTTCGAACCGATTTTTTTTTCCTCTATAATAAACGTGATAAACTTTGTAATAATTTTGTACTCTCTAAAGCTTTAGAGTGAACATTTCACTCCGCGGTTCTATATTTACTCGAAAAACCTTAGAGTAATTAAATCATTTTTTAAATAAACAATCCCGAGTCGAAATTTTGGCTTTATGTTGAACCTTCAATTCTATTATAGCAGGACCTGAGACAGTAAAAGAGGTCGAGCTGGAAGTACAAAATTTACTCCTACAGTTTAAAACTGATAGTGTCGGAAATTTCTACTTTTGCCAATTTAGCATTAAAGTAGGTCCTTTAAGTAGCAGCTAAAGTAAATTTTTAGAATTTAAAATTCAAAAGAGGAGTAAAAAATATGTCATCAAAGTAGGTTATTACTAGTTTATGTAGCGTCAAATAGTACCGAAATTTCGACTCGGGCAGGAAAGATTGATTCGCATTTAAACACAAACAAATTCGATTCGACTACGTAAAAGCACGATTCGTACATCTCTAGAACGCACGCGATTCGGCGCGACCTAATTCACGCGATTTAATTCCTCGCGGCCGTCGCGACGGACGGTAACGAACGTCGCTTCGACGATAAATTTCGCGTTGCGAGGATTTTTCTTTGTTCGGGAGCGCGCGTGCGAAGCGTGACACGACGTAATCGCGCGTCCATCGGGCCGATTGAGCACGTGTGTAAACTCGGCCGCCTACGCGCGGCCCACGTGCGACTCGTGTCTTCGCGTCGACGCGGGACGATGGAAGCGGTCCATCGCCGAAATTGCGGGAATCATTTCCGATTGACTGTCGTTATTTTTGACGCGAAACCGCCGGACACGTTTCTCGTCGGAGAAACGTTGAAAATACAAATTCGACATCGGCGATTTTTCTCTCCCCACCTGAGAATCGACAGTTTTCACGTTGGCGCGAAACTTGAAATTCTCGGATATTCAATTCTAATATACGACCAGGAGCATAAAGCGTTTCTCCAGGTCGATCGTCCCGCTGCCGACCGGATCTCTCGATAATCCTCGTCCAGGTTGGTCGTTTCGCGCGCGCCATCAGACTTCCGAACTCGACGTTGTGCGCGCCGAGTTTCCGACGTTTCTGAACTCGACATTTAATCCGGTGAGCGCGAAGTTCCGCGAGGTAACTCCCCCCGCCTTCTTTCTAACATTCGTGAAACGCAAAACTTTTGATCCGCCGACCAGCTCTCCGCGTGAATTTCCACTGTGCGAAGTGGCGCCGGAAACCGCGCTTTCCCCGAGTCTGATGCGGAAGTCGCGTTGAGAGACGTTGAATATTTGCGAAAAAGCGCGATACATAAAACGTACGAGATGTTGACGAATGCGGATTTTCAAATCATCCCGCAACATCGAATAGCCGATACTTCGTCGAAGGATTCAGCTAGGCCAAAAGAAATAAGAGATCCCCTTGATCGTAAGCCATTTTATACTACACGGAAAGAATTTTCACTGAAAATTTACCCTGAAAATTGTAATCGTGGGACAACGTGGTATTTTGCAGAACTTTATGAGAATTTATTGAAATTTTACCATACCCTTACAGCACAGCAAGGTTTCAGCAACATGCGGAATGTTGCTGCAACGCTGCTGCAATCTTGCAGCAACGGTAAAATGTCCGCCTTCGGAAATATTACAATGTAATATTACAGCAACATAGCAATATAATATATGCAATAATACTTTGTGTATATTTATATTAATGTATAAAGAAAAAAAATTATGAACAAATTCCGGATTTTAAAAAGATCATAGGGGCTAACAACTATTGAGGTAAAATCTCTAATCTTAGTAATTAGAATTTAAGTAACAACGGTTTTTGTTTCGAAACATTTTCTCGGTTGAACAGAATTAGTCATTAATTTAATCAATACCTATAAGTCCGCAGAATGATACGCAAAACGTAGTAACTGTCACGGAACAAAGTAATGTGAAAAAAGTACAGAATTGTCAATTTCGTAGGCGGGACAACGAATTCTCAACGTTCGTAGTGGTTTCTCTCTCGGGGCGGTGACGTGATTTTTGCGTGCCATCGTGTACGCAAAACGTAGCAACAGTCACGGAACAAAGTAATGTACAATAAAATATTAAGTACGGAATTTTCCGTTGCGTAGGCAGGCCAACGAATTCTCAACGTTTTTTTTTTTGTTGTTTTTCACTCG